TCTAGTTGTGGAGGACGTTGCTTCACTTGCCCAAGTTGGCACCATCATTGCGCTCTTCCCTGGAGAGGCAGATCAGTCGCCGGCTTCTGGACAGCCACTCACTGCAGCTGCTGGCCACTCACGCTGGCTGCTGGCCACACACAGTAGCCCATGGCAACCCACTGCCACAGGGACTGCGGCCTATGCCATCGCCGGCGACTCATGGCAGCCCAGCTCCAGGTTGAGCTGTTGTTCAGCATCTTAGCTGTAGAGGGCAGTGTTCACTGGTCCTCATATGTAGGATCCGAACCTGGGCCCTCTGGCATCCCAAGCCAGTTCTTAACCATCGTGCCACTTGGCCGGCCCCAGGAATGTCTTTGTCTGAAGCCCGTGCAAAATCCTTAGTGACCACATGGTCTGGGAAGGCCTTTGTCTAGGGCCCACTGCCACATGAACACCCTGAAAATCATGCTAGGGCTTATTTTCCAGTTAGGTCTTATTTTCAGGGAAACACGGTAGTATTTGTCTTTCTCTGTATGACCGAGCAATTCCACCTCTGGGTATTTATCCCAAGAAATCCAAAACACCAATTCAAAAGACATGTGCACCTCTGTGTTCAATGCAGCACTATTTACAATAGCCAAGATATGGAAGCAACGGAAGTGCCCATCAACAGACGACTGGATAAATAAGATGTACATTTATACAATGAAATATTACTCAGCCATGAAAAAGAATGAAATTGTATCATTTGTGACAGTATGGATGGATCTAGAGGGTATTACGCTGAGTGAAATAAGGCAGCTCCATGTTTTGAAGCCAGATTATCTGGCTCCTCTTAGCTGTTCTGGTAAACTTCATCAGTGAATTTCAGGAGCCCGACTGATTCTCTGACCTGTTCCTCTCCCTCCAGACACCAGAGTCATTTTTGCCACCACCTTCAGCTGCCTCGTCATCTTTCTCCTCTTCCCCTCTGTCTTCCTCATCTACAGATGCACTCAGCATGGTGAGTTCAGAGGAGCACCAGTAAAAACTGCTGGGGAAGGGTAGTAAAGAGGAGTTTCTCATTAGATAAATTCTGCCTTGTATTTTTTTATAGGTTCATCACATGAAGAATCCAATGAGAGGTAGATCAACTTTGGCAGTCTTCATTCCCTGCTTAACTCACAATCCATCCTTCAGAGGAGTGTGCAGAGACCCCATTTCTCACGCCCAACCCCACCCTGTTGCCCCCCAACACACCTCTTCCCCCAGCCCGGGCTGTGACCTTCCTCCTCTCCCCTCCAAAGCCCTTATCGTCCCTCCGAAATCTTGAGATTCCATACTTGAATGTTTTTCTCTCTCTCAGAACCAGCCACTCCAAATTTCCCCAGCAAGAGGCTTCAGGTAGGCTATTTGGGAAGACCCCAGGCAAGAATCACAGGATGAAAGATGACAGCCTGACTCCTACTATCTGAGAACTGAATTTTTTTCTCTCTCTCTCTGACTCACATGCAGATTTATCCAATCCGGAAAGAGTATCCCTCTCGGTGAGTTCTCCCATCTAGAATCCCCCAGGAGCTCACTTAGCACCTAGGATGGTCCTATCTGCTTCCTGGTTTAGCTCATACTCTGGTTACATGGATTCCCCGACTCACGCAATTAGGAGGCCAGTTAACATCGTGTTTAAAAACATGTGCTTTGACCGAATTCATAAAAACAGAATAGAATGGTGGTGACCATGGGCGGGGGAGCAGAAGAATTGGGGAGATGCTGTTTATCTACTTATAACTCGTAGATAAATAATTCCTGGAGATCTGACACACAGCATAATGACTATAGCCCACAATACTGTATTGTAAACTTGAGAGTTGCTAAGAGGCTAGCTCTTAATTATTCTCAACACACACACACACACACACACACACACACACACACACACACACACACACTAATTATGTGCCAGTATAGAGGTGTTAACTAATGCCCAGGTGGTAACCAAACGGCAATATATAAATGTATCAAATCAACAAGTTGCACACCTTAAACTTACACAATGTTATGTGTCAATTACATCTCAAAAAAACACAAAAATGTGCTTTGAATTACAAAGTAACTGAATCCCAGCTCCCAGTGTCTACTATTTATTACTAGTGTAGTCTGGGACAAATCACGAAATCCCCATGATTTGGACCCTTCATTTCCTCCCATATCTAATGGGAATCAAAATGCCCATTTTAAAGGCTTGTGTAAATCTAGTGATGTCATAAACATAAAGGGTTTATTGGAGTTTCCGGCAAATTTTAAATGTCAAATGGATGGCATTAAAAGCGTCAATTAACAAATGTTAATGAATTTACATCAATCAATTTTACACTATTTAAAATGCTGCATATTTGTGATTTAATGTTAATTAGCATTTTATCTAAGAACAGTATCAGATAACATTTATACATTTTCCCATGGGACACAGGCTCATTGCTCATTGTTTAAGCCAAAGCAAATAAATAGAGGATTACCAAACGGTGCAAATAGTTCACTGTTGCATTTAAAATGCATTTATGTACATTGCATTCATTTAGATATATGTATTTTTTTTAAGTTATGAAAAAGCATAGTTTACACGTTCACAAAAATTAAGTGTCATGTAACAAATCTGGTCAACTTTAAATGTTGGATTAATGGCACCAAATAGCAAACTGTTGATAAAAATAATATTATAATAACAATATTATGATGTGGCACCTCTATACAATAGAATACTATTCAGTCATAAAAAAGGAAGAACCTAAATGGATGCACTTCAAAAACATTTTGCTAAGTAAAAAAGCCAGATACAAAAGACTGTATATAACGTTGTTCTGTTTATATAAAATCTCCAGAAAAGGCAAATCGGTAGTTGCCTATGGCTGGGGTAGGGGTGGAGCTGGTAGGGCCAGAGAGCAAGGTGTAACTGCAGACAGGCACAAGGAGATTTGGGGGGGTGATAAGATACTCTTAAGACTGTATTGTGGTTATAGATGCATCATTCTACAAGTTTACTAGGGCCAGCCAAGTGGCTCAGTCGCTTAAGAGCTCACTTAAGAGTGCGAGCTCTGAGCAACAGGGTCACCAGTTTGATTCCCAGCCTGAGCTGAGCTGCCGCTGAGCTACCAACAGGTGGCAGGATGGCTCAGCCAAAAAAAAAAAAAGAAAAAAATACAAGTTTACTAAAAGTCATCAAATTGTGATTTTGAGAGATTTTATGGGAATTTAATGGAAAAATTATAATTTATTTATAAATGTTATCTCAGTAAAATGGTTTAAAACAATAATATGATATTACATTACTAGTAGATGTTCTCATAGGATGGCTCTTATTCTCAAAAGCATACATTTGTGATGATTTTTATTAGCTCCAGGTAACACTGGTTGTCAGTATTGTTTATTAATACTAGAGTCAAGCCCCTCACCCTCCTCGAACCACAGCCGTTCTAGAATGGTGCTGTTGGAGGAACTTTCCTCAGTGCTGGAAATGTCCTACAGCTGAGCTGCCCCATACCACAGCCACCAGCCCCATGTGGCTACTGCACATTTGAAATACACATGGTGCAACTGAGGGCCTGAATTTTTCATTTAATTGTAGTTCATTTGAATAGCCATATGTGGCTCATGGTTATTGGATAGCTCAGCTCCAGATGCCCATGAGTATCCTTCTCTTTTCCCCAAAGACTGAAGACCCCCAGGAAGGCACCTATGCTGATCTCACCAAGTCACCATCTGAGGCAGCTTCTGTCCCCGCAGAGGAGCCCCCAGGGTCCTGTGAATGTGCAATGCTGACGGTATAGGAGGATGGCAGAAGCCACTGGAGGAAGGGCGTCTTCCCTGGGAAGCAGAATATGGATTAAGATGGCTGAGATGACTGGACATATGGAAATCCAGGTCACTGTGTGTCCTCAGTGCAAAATCCATAATAATATTAACTTTTTCTCATCTTGCTTCCACTCCTATCAAACATGACTAGATGGGTCTTCCCAAAATCTGGAATGTGACTTTAGTATGGTTTGACTTAAATCATAGGCTAAGAATATGTACTGTATATATATATATATATATATATATATATATATATATATATATATATATATATATATATATATATATATATATATGCATGTGTATACACACACACACACGGTCAGACAATTATGTTCATGAACTTTCCACCATGCACTTACACAGTGGAAAATTTACGAATGTAATTGTCTGAATACTGCAGGCACCACATAAATAGAAAATAGTTTCCCCAGAGAAGCTTGTATGGTTGCTATTGGGTGAGACATTCCATAGACACAGAGATTTTGAAAAGGAGCCCAAAACATGAGCCACAAAGGTAGACACTCAATTGTGAGCTAACAAAAGCATCCCTATGTAGCACGCACCCTGGTAAGTAGCTAAATATATTCATTTCATGATTCTTTCATGCCTTGATGGGCAACCATCTAGTCTAAAGTCAAAACCAGCTTCCTCTTTGACATGAGTGTAAGAGTTTTCTTAATACCATTATATTTCTGTTTATATATATTTTTATTATTATTAAAAATCAAAGGACACAATGAAGACTTAAAGAATATATGTAGATTTTGTCACATGGTGCCCATTAACTTAATTTAGGTGAATACAACATTGTAAGGATTTTTTGAGTGTGGACTTTTTTGTGTGACAATGGCACCAAATGACATAAATATAAGAGCTTTTGCTTCCAAAATGATGTCACTCAATCACGTTTGAAAATCATTTTTAAATATGCTAAGGGGCCAGCTGAGTGGCTCAGTTGGGTTAAGAGCATGAGCAACAGGGTCACTGGTTCAATCCCCACATGGGCCAGTGAGCTGCGCCTGAGCTGAGCTGCAGCTGAGCTGCCAACAGGTGGCAGGATGGCTCAGCTGGTGAGAGCATGTGCTCCTAACAACAAGGTTTCCCATTTAACTCCCGCATGGGATGATGGGCTACGCCAACCCACAACTAAGGTTGAACACAGCACTTTGAGCTGAGCGGCCATGAGCTGCCAACGGGCAGCCGGGTGGTGACTGGACTTGGAGCTGAGCTAGTTTCGCCCTCCACAACTAAGACTGAAGGACAACAACTTGGCTGTTCTCCTTCCCCAATTCCCCAACACTGTTCCCCTTCCCCAATTCCCCCCAAAAATCTTAAAAATATATATTAAAAATATATTTAAATATATATATATATATGAATGAAAGTGTAAAGATTCAAAATGTATATATAAATATTCTTAACACATAAGCATATGCTGGATAACTTTTCTCTTTTTAAGTTTTTAAATATGAAAGAATTTGATTGTAAAGAAAAACACCAAATAATATAAACAGAAATATGCACAGTGGCCTTATTTTCTAGACACGAATATTTTGCTATGTTTTTACTTTTGCCACTCTCAATCCTTTTCTCGCTTCCTCAAAAGTAAACGTTATATTATTCTTATATGCGGCACTATTTTATGTATTAGTCACATATACATATATATGGAGTCATAGTGTATATTACAATTCTGGGACTTTTTTTATTTCCCTCAACATTATGCTTTTGAAGTTTATCCAGTTGATTTTTGTGGATCTAGCTTATTGTTTACTGTATAGAATTCAGTTGTCAACTTTAGCATAAAATATTATTCACCCATAAAAATGGATGAGGCACCATTACATACCACAATATAGATGAACCTTGAAAACATTATTATTATAATTGAAAGAAGCCAGACACAAAAAGCTACATATTGTAGGATTCCATTTACATGAAATGTCCAAAACGGACAGATCCTTAGAGACAGGAAGCAGATTAATGGTTTCCAGGGGGCTGGGGAGGGGTGATTGGGGAGGAACAGCAAATGGGTCTGGGGTTTCTATTCGGGGTGATGGAAACGCTGTGGTATTAGATTGTGGTGATGGTTGCACAACCTTGTGAATATGCTGAAAAACACTGAATTGTGCACTTTGAAGGTGTGAATTTTATGGTATGTGAATTATATCTCAATAAAACTTTTTTAAAAAGAACTCAGTAGTACACACAAACCAGCATTTCTCTTTATTCTTTCCTCGACTGCTACAATAGATGTTTGGGATGTTTGCTGTGGTGTGTTATCAACAAACTGCTGCAATTAACACCCTTTCCCTGCCTTCTTGTTCACATGTGTGATCTCCTTAGGGTGAATATTTACAAATAAAGTCTGTCTTCTATGATGTCCACATCTCTCATCCCACCAGGAGAGGCAAACTAATAACTAAGGTGGTTTCACATATTGTATGTCCACGAGGAAGCATATGGTTCCAATTCCCCCACATCCTTGCCAATTCATAAATATATTAAATTTTATCATTTTTGCTGATTAAAGTACATGAACTCATAGTCCATTTTAAGCTGCCTATGTGAAGATACCTCACTGTTGCTTTAATTTTCATTTTCCTGATTATGGGTGAGGCTTATTGGCCATTCAGGGTTTCTCTTCTGTGCATTGATGGTTTGTATCCACTGATCCTTTTTCTGTTGAATTGTTGGCCTTTTCCTTACTAATTTGCAGGTTGTATTTATACAGTATGCACACCTTTCCTATGCAAACTGTAGACTGCACATTATCTTCTATTTTCCTTCTTTTTGTATCTTTTAATGTTGGCTACCCAGTAACTCTTTTTGTATCTTTTAATGTTGGCTGCTCAGATAAAAAAAATTATCTTTGGAGGGCATTCTTTGTGTCTTGACTGGCTTTACATTAGAAATCTACTCTCCTGTACATTCTTTTAAATTTTAAATTAAAAAAATTTTTTTCATATTTAATCCATATGAAATTAATTCTTATCTAAGGTGTGAGGTATAGATCTAACATTTCCATTTGGATCATCAATTGTCCCAGAGTCCTTTATTGAAAGACATGTGCTTTTTCATTCAAATTGTGTCTTCAATTTGATGAAATATAATCACTTCTATTTCATCTACACCACCTTCCATTATTAGAGTAATTCCGACACTTGGATGGGAATGACAAAAGGAAAAACCTAACTTGAATGGACAGGGGTGGCTGGTTAGTCAGTTGGTTAGAGCACAGTGCTCATAACACCAAGGTTGCCAGTTCAATCCCCACATGGGCCACTGAGCTGCGCCCTCCACAACTAGATTGAAACAACTATTTGACTTGGAGCTGATGGTCCTGGAAAAACACACTGTTCCTCAATTTAAATAAAATTTAAAAAAAAGAAATGGAATCATGTAACCAAACTAAGGAAAAGGCTGAGCTAGATAGCCTCAGACAACTGCCTCTATGTACTCAAGTGCCATTTAGATTTTCCTTCCCCATTTTCTATCTCTGTTTCTATTTCTGTGCTATCATTATTCAAACTAGTTGTGCCTTTGAGCCTGGGGCTGATAGTGACAATTCCAGGCTTGCAGCCTTGCAGACTTTTAGCCAAAGAGGTAACGGGGGCTTTTACTTACTGGATTGATTTAGAAAAAGATTATTGTCAGCTACCTTTAGAAGATGCTTAGAAAGCCAAGTTACAAAAGTTTTAGGCACAGAGCAAACAAATCCAGCATTTATCCTGCCTTTCATTTATAACCTGTTCCCCAGGACAACCAAATAGCTGAGGAGACAAAGTTTCTACTCATACAACTACTACAAACTAATACACAAAGAAGAAAACTTTTGGGCTGGCCGAGTGGCTCAGTTGATTAAGAGTTGGCTTGGGAGTGCAAGCTCTGAGCAGCAAGGCTGCCAGTTCAGTTCCCACATGGGCCAGTGATGCTGCACCCTCTACAGCTAAGACGGTGAACAACAGCTCGACTTGGAGCTGGGCTGCCGTGAGTCACCGGTGATGGCGTAGGCTGCAGCCCCTGCTGCAGTAGGCTGCCGTGAGCTACCGTGAGTGGCCGGCAGCTATCATAAGCTGCCGTGAGTGCTGTGAGCAGCTGTCCAATGGCCTGCGACCGACTGCCTCAGCCGGGAAGAACACAATGATCATAATACCAACATGGGCCAGTGAAGCGACGTCCTCCACAACTAGACTGAAGAATAAAAGAACAGCAACTTGTCTGTTCCCCTTCCTGACTCCCCAATAAAAAAATCTTAAAACAAACAAAAGAGCAAAAAAGAAAACTTCTAGGTCTTATCTTTGGCTAAAGTATGCCCACCTTATCAGGAGTAATAACAGAGAAGGTGGCTTAGTGTCTTTCTACCCAGAAACTGTTAATACACAATAGATAAAATGTCCAGAGAAAAAGCAGAAGGGAAATCAGATGGTTAGAATCAAAGGGAATAATTTTCCAAAGTCTTAACCGATAACAGTGGCAGAACCCATCTAAAACCCAGGTGCCTGCTGGCTCCTAGACCCGAGCTCGGCAAACTTTTTCTGAAAAGGAGCAGAGAGTAACATTTCCAGCTTCTGTCACCCTTAGGGTCTCTATTGAGGCTGTTCAATTACGCTTTTGCAGCAGGAAGGCAGCTGTGGCCCATACCTGAACAAGTAGGTGCAGCTGTGTTCTAATAAAACTTTAGAAACACAAGTGGTGGACTGTAGTTGGCCAACCCATGTTTTAGAACAGTTCTTTTTGAAATCTGAACGAATTACCAGAAGAATTTAATTAAACCAGGAAATACTCGTATGTGTACTTGAGTGCAAGGGAAGACTTTTTTTTTGCCCCTTTCTCAGTTCCTGGATCTTTAAAAGTGGCAATCAGGACTGGCTTCAGGGCCGGCCGAGTGGCTCAGTTGGTTAAGAGCTTGCTTAAGAGTGCAAGCTCTGAGCAACAGGGTCACCGGTTCGATTCCCACATGGACCAGTGAGCTGCACCTGAGCTGAGCTGTCATTGAGCTGCCAACAGGTAGCAGGATGCATATCCTCCTAACATGCTCCTAACAAGGTTGCCTGTTTGAGATGGTGGGCTATGCCCGCCCACAACTAAAGACTGAACTTGGGGGGCCGGCCGAGTGGCGCGTTGATTAAGAGCTGGCTTGGGACGCCAGAGGGCCCCGGTTCAGATCCCACATATGCGGGCCAGTGACACTGCCCTCTACAGCTAAGATGCTGAACAACAGCTCAACC